GCCAAGTGTGAGTGTACTGCCCCTACAGACAAGGGAATTTAAACACATATACTTCTTAGATATTGACATACTATTTAATTACTTAGGTTTGTTAATCTTTCAGTACTAACACTGAAATATCAGTACACACTCGTGATAATACATTTAACTTTCTCATCATTTTTCATTAAGTCATAATTGCAGGAGCTCTGGTTAAAAGGAAACAATAATTACACTGATTAGTTGCTGATTTTCAAGAGATTCTGGAGCTACACCAGACTATAATACTATGACAGGAATTTTTAGATCTTAAATTTGTGGTCATTGTTCACAAAAGAAAATAATGAATTTCCAAATTGCTGACAGAGAGAACCATTTTGACAAACTAAAAGAAAGACTGTTTTAATTAAATAAAATTAATTTAAAAGAAAAACTAAGCAAAATCCATAATCCTATGGATTATGGATCCACACATTTTAATGGACGGGGTACAAGTGGAAGTAAAGAGAAAGTTAATGACTTGGACAGCAGGAGGCAATGTCATAGGTATGAACCTCGAGTAAAGAATATATAGGCTGATCTGACATATGGGTACTTTCTCTAAAGAAAGCATCTGTTTGGAGTGCAAGTCATTTTGGCTAATGGATAAGTCATGTTCATTGACAATTACATTAGTCCTTTTTGCTGTTTTAGCCAAATAAGGCTAATTATTTAGCATGCGTAATTTATATAGCTATGAGGGTGGGTTATCAGTAAAGATGTACTGAAGCATAAAAGACTTGGGAACACTGACTTATCTGTCAAATTTGATCAAGCCCAGTGAAATTTAATTTGTTAATCTTGCTTGACAATCCTACCCTCATGCACTCTGAACACTAATACATTTTGTATTGCACTGAGATGCACAATCTACAGTGAGACTTTTTATTTCCATTAACCAGAATCATGTATTAGGAATGTTAACATTTGGAGAAAAAGACATTACTTTTTCCAATTAAAAAGGCTAAAAGTAGGACTGTAAATATTCATATTATGTATTTGAATGCCTAGTTCTTACCTCAACATATTAGAATGTGGTTCTTGTCCTTTATAATAACTACAGCTAATATAAGAACTTAGGATTGTTTTTCTAATTAAACAGAGAATGCTGTTCTTTGCTTATGTGTGTATACACCAACAAACGTGTGTATACATATACACACACACACCCCTATTCAAACTTAAAAAATGAACCACTTACAGTTACGTATCTCTGGACTTCTCACTTCTCTGTAGTGGTGATTAATGCTCGTTTTATACCTGCTTTCCAAGGCCAAGAGGAGTATAGTTCTTCCTAGTATCCACTCAGGCCTCATGCCAAAGGAAGCCTACATCAACTTTCATCACATACATGTTTCCAACAGTCATGAAATTTAGTCTTGGTCTTTGAATTCAATGCTGCCTCAGGATATCCATGGAATCTGTATATAGTGAGCTGAAATAGCTCTGAACAGTTGATTTCTGCTGTTCCCAGGCTAGTCAAAGAGCAGCTACATTTGTGCAGATAACTTGTCCAATATTTGCACAGTATGGTATATATAAATCTTCAGTTAGAAAACTCTGTGTCCATGTTTGTTTTACGACAGTCCTCCTTCTAAAGGAGTTTCCTACCCTATTTCTCCTCTCACCATACAGGACAAGAGAACATTCCTGTTTTGCAGTCCCTCCACAGATTGCATACAGAAGCCTACTGGATTCAATTAGAGAGAATCAAACTTGAATAATAACTATGTTCCTCAATATGAGACAAATTGGGATAATCACCAGTATCCAAGTATAAGCTCCAGCAGATACATTTGGACCATCAATCATACCAGAATATGCAAGAAACAGTTCTGGAGCACACAGAACATTAACTAGAAGAGAATTACCAGAAATATTTTAAGTTAGACTAACTTATAATAATAAGTTAGTCTATCTTAAAATTACTTTTTTATTTCTTGTAATGGAAAATAACAAATAAATTAGGTAAACAACTCTCCAAACAATTTGAGCTTTTCCTTTATGTTACAACTAAAATAAGTAAAGGAACAAAATAATATTTTTTTTGGTCTGGGTAGATATAATCCTGAAATCATATGAGAAGTATTCAGTTAACATTGATGAAACTTGACAGAATGCACTGCCTGGGAAATATCCTGGTGCTTTTCCTGTTAGATATCTTTATGTAAGCCTGTTTTGCATATTGTACAGTGGGCATTAGAAGAAAAAAAAAAAAAAGAAGCAACCTGAAGTTGTAAAGTCAACTCTCTTGAAGTTGCCAATTTGTTTATGACCTATGCTGACACTGGAAACAAACTCTACATACTACTCTGTTTTAGAGCTTGGGCATCAACAACACTACAAAACAGCTGTGAACAGGATGTGCAAACCACTGAATAACATAGATTATTTCTTACATCATTTGCTCTGCTTCTATCCGTGTCTCCATAATCACGACAGCTAAGGGAGGGGGGTAAAAGCAATGTTGTTGGGCAGCCTGGAGCAATTTAATTCTATTGCTTATTTATCAAGATGAAACCCTAAAAAGATATGGGCACGAATAATCTGAAAAAGGAGAAGGAGAAAATAAAATGATAATAAAAAAGTCAAGCTTGGCTCAATTATTATTCTACCATCGAACTAAAAGAAATATGTGAATTGCTTTTGTAAGGCAGTCATATATTATCATTTAATGAGTTATCTTTCCATACCATGGAAAAAATACCCTACACTAAACTCCTATTATCTGACTCTAAACTGACCATTTTTCAGAGTTGCTACTCATGAAAATGCTACTAAATAGTAATGTTACACTTTCAGTGGAAAAATATACAGCCTGTAAGCCTAAAATACTTTTGGGAAGTGAATATGAAATGGCATCTTCAGGTAAAACTGAAAGTTTTTCTAAACAAAATATAGCACTGCTCAAACAAGCAAGGAGAGACCTGTTTATTGATTATATAGCCTCTTATTGCTCATAAGAGGAGATCCTGGACAATTTGAGATATGTTGGAAGCACACGCTTATAACACTGATTGATCTGATTGATGTAGATGAAAATCTAAAGCACAAGAAGGCTGAAAATCCTCAAAATCACATCAAGCTTTCCAACCTCTTTGTTCAAAAGAAAACACCACAAAGCTCTGACAACTACTGGAAGAAGAGCAGTATCTAATCTGAAAGTCCATTTAAACGTGTCTTTTCTTTTTTTTCCTCTTGGAAGATAAATGCTTTCTGAAGAAAATCTCTCCTTTCCAAGAAATAAGACAAGATAAATTTTTCTGAAGAATGGAATATATATGCATTGATGATATCAACAATGTTTTCTGGGCTATGTATAAATTATCACAGAAGTGAGAAAGCAAAATAAATACATAAAGATAAATCCAGATGTATGAAGGTGATTTAGAAGCACAGGTTCCCTAGCATGATGAAAGGGCCACGGACCTCTATGTTGTCTTATCTCTTTTGAAGCATTAGCTAGTATCATAGCTACTGCAAATTTAGGGTTAAGAAATTATTTCAGTTCCCCATTTTATGAACTATGGTTTAGGAGTTGCTTTTATTGTTTCTTTGTTTTTTGTTTTTTTTTTCTTGTTCTCTGTTTACATATCTGAGGGAAGTACAATGCTTCGCTGACTATCTGTTCGTGTTTTATAAGACAAGAGGTGAACAAATAAAATTCCAGATAACTTCTAAGTTTTCATATTTGTCTGGAACTTGTTCTATTGGCATGAAGAGTTATTTGTGGAGTTGTATCTATCACATATTCACATTCTTACAATTGTGCTCTATTTTCATATTTCTGTGTATCTTAGCAGGCATAAACTTGCAAATATAGAATAAAGTTTCACATGTGAAGAAGAATAATAAACAATAAATCTAGAGATACTTTAAACTAGAAATCATGGACACAGACTTTCTGCCTAATTATGGCTAGTCTGATGGTAATTTATGAAGCTTCATATTAGTCTCTGGACAGTAAATTTTACTAGAAGAGGAGGAAGAAGCCAGAACTGCAGCAACAAGAGGCTGATGTCATCTTCTTCAGCATTAGGGGAAAATAATGAAGGCACAGCATGGGTGTCACTACTTAAATTAAAAAGCTTTAGTAAATGCTTTCCCATTGTGCAAAACTGAGATCATGGCCCTACCCAGATACTTCTTTCAGGAGTTCACACTGAACGGTGTGTGAGCACAAACCCCAAGGCTACTGAGTCCTAACCACAGAAAGATCTTCCCTTCTCGGATGCTGTAATGTTGAGACAAAATTTTTTTAATTGCCTTACCAGAACACCAGAAAACAGCAAATTCAGTCTTGCATCACCCTTTCTATTGGAAAGCTATGTAAAAAAGAAACTCCTAATTTGGATCCTGGATATGAATGCTAACAAAACAAGTTATACATTCTAACTCATTAAACCATGAAGGTAATTAATAGCGAAACTATTTTATACTTATGCATTTCAACAAATAAAGAAAATAACATATTTTAAAAATACATAATTAGGAATATTTATGTGTGTGTGTAAGATAAAGATATATACTATCCAGATAACTAGATACCTTGGTAAAAACTTCTTTTTTTACATCAGACAAATAGAATTTAAAAAGTAACAATATATATTATTTTACAGTCAACTAAATGACCAGGTATAGTTTGAATGTAAATTTTGAAATTAGTCATTGCAATTATTTTCCATTAAATTTCAACTCAGTGGAGTTACCACATGAATGAGGATTTGTTTAAATTACCATATAGCACTAGAGCAAATTAAATCTCTCTTATTTCAATATTTACATATCTGAGGTAGAATTATAGGCTTTCTTTATTTTACTTTTTCTTCACATAATTATTGATCCACAGAAAACACAGGAAACTGACAAATTGAGAAAAATAATTAAAAAGTAAAAAATAAACAGGAAAAATGTAGGAGGGGAGAAAGACAGATGTTGTTAAATATCAAAATAATTTGGTGTAAAATAAAGCATTATTGTACCTGCAATGATGTCATCCATCTGCTCCAAAGCTGCTTCAAGCATATGACTAGCGTCAGAAGCCATGCTCTCTGATTTGCTCAGACTTTTACTCTTCCTACTGTAAAGACAGATGAAAGCATGTGTATTATACTAAAGCAGACCTGACAGAAAATATACTTCACTGTTTCATTCTATACTAAGCCATACAAAGAGAAGTCCATGCTAACAAAAATACAGCCTTGTAATTAATATGAAAATTAAAAAAAAATAGTTCCTATTCTTGATAGATGACTTGGGATTTCTGAGGTTCTCATTTATCACTGACTCATTTCTTTCTTAAGATACTTTACTAACAAGGAAATGCAGATGAAAATGAAAACAAACAAATCTCAAATACTGGAAGCCTGAGATTTGCCTACGCCTTATTCTTAAGAATACTTTTCTAAATTCAAAGTTTGTGTATTTCAACCTTTTGCACTGTGGGCGAAAAGGAGGGTTGTCTAGGTTTCAATGAAGGAATGAAACAGGTGCTTTTACTGTTCCTGGTGAAATCACAGTTAACCTATAAGCCAAACTCTGTAGGAGCTCGTTATTGATTGCTGCCATATTAGTAGAGAGGGAAAGTATAAAAATATGTTTCTGCCTCAACCCCAACAGTAATGATACCTAATATGTTTTTCACTTCTGACTCCAAGTCCAGCAATTCTGAAATCATTTTTACTTCTCCTTTCCATAACCACATTATATCACTTTTTCATGACCAATCTGCTCCAAGTATGAAATTTCTGAAGTTGATGCCTCTTTAGAACAGGATTAAAGACATTCATTAACATCTGAGATCAAGGATAATAAACCAAATTTTCCAAAAATTAGAATCCCCTGTGACATTTCATAGGGAAAAAAAAAATATACGCTGTCTGTTTCATCTCTGAAATAAGCTTCTTTTGCACATCACTTCAATGCTCAGGTATAAAACCAACACCTGCAGGGCAATGAACAGGGATCTTGGGTATAATTTTTGCAGTGCTGTAACACACAACTCAAAATATCAACAAAGACTTTAAAAGGTCACAGAATTTTGATTTGATTTCTCATCCACAAAAGTGTAGTTCATTCAGACTTTTGTATCTCCCAATACAGTAAATTTTTAAAACAGTGGTTCAAAACTGCTGTTTTTACACCTTTGTAGGCACCACAAAAGACATCTGTGTGACAATGGCCAGAAATATCCTTCAAATGATACACGTAGTAGGTAAGTGCATATGCAGTTGGTCATATGTTTGAGGCCAATTATTCCAATGCCACTGAAATTTCACTAATCTGTATTTATCATGTGATATGACAAGAAATAGATTGTCACCTGTCTTTAGATTTAAAAGACAAGATAATTCACATAGATATATTTGTATGGTGTTCATTCAGTGATAATTCAGACACTGGCCACTATCACCAATGACTGATATGACTGGTAGCTAAACCACCTACATTTGCTCTCTCGGTTGGATGTTTCCTAAACACTAGAATGTAGAATTAGCAGCCAGAGAATAGAACCAGCGTTAAGATAAAAACATTCTTTTGTTGTTATTTCTCAGGACCATCAGATAAAAAAAAATCCCTAGAAGTATACTCAACGCTGAGTCCAAATTACTGCATCATAACAAATGAAGAAACTCAGAAAAAAGACCAGCACAATGCAAAAAAATAGTAACAAGTCATAATTATTTGCTTCTTTTGCAGATTAAGAACCCTACGATACAGACTTTTTGTCATGGTGCTGGTGAAGAATACACAAAGATACAAAGAAAGCTAATTTATTAATAAGCTCTCTGTTATCAGAGAGCTGTGTGTGCTATATCCAGTCTGGTCAACGTATACAATCATCATCTAAAGGGACAGCTGCAGGAATGAGAGCCTGAAACTAGTAGGCTCTAATTTCAGCTCTGCCATTTAGGCTGTCATAATGGCTAAGCCACTATTTACTTTCAGATCAAACAGATCTGAAGAGCAATATGAGAATGCCATATCAGAAAATAAAGAAGAGGAAAAAAAAAAAAAATCACCCACAACCTTTAGTGTCACCTAAGGCAAAGATTCATGCAAATTACAGGTTGGGTTTACCTCTCCCTTTTTGTCAAAATAATAATTTAAGCATGAACAATGCTAAATGTACCTGAATTTCATCTGATCTCCAAAGCAAACAACCCAAATATTGCATTTAATGGTATTGGAAATAACACACACTATCCTCAGAATAATCTTAAAAGTCATTAAGTCAGCTGATATAAACTTAAAATTTCACAATATGTACACACAAAACTTTTCAAACACTCCCTCTTTTTCTGTTGCATCAATTTGTTGACTCTGGTAGATTTCCATCCTCTGTTATCATATTAATCTGCCAGCAGGTGAGCAGATTCACTAAAAATGTTAGAGATACCCAGTTCTCAACTGCAATAAGCCACTTTCCATGCAGTATTTCTCCTAGTTCAAAGCATCCACAACATGGGTCACAATCATCTCAGTGAAAGGAAATCCACCTACAGAAAGCAGCTGCCCAAGAGGCACCCAGGCTGTCTTGCTACTGGGGTGGATGTTGAAGAAAAGAGTCACTCCCTCAGAGATCTACGGCTGCCAGCTGTTTTTGTAAATCAGAACAACAGACTGTCTCAAATCTGAAGGAAGAAAAAAAGGGAAAAATACTAAAAGCAGTACAGAGTTTCTATTACTAGGTTGCACTGAATGTTCTTATTTGTGCTGTAAGATATTGCTGTGTGCTTAAAGCTGCTAGAGCAATACATATTTATTATTAACAAGAAAGGCAGAACTATCATTTTTTCTAAACATTAAATATAGTTTTTGATCACCTGCAGTGAAAAAACTACAGAAACCCCTGAAATATTACAAGCTTGAAATTTTACTTACAGAAAAAAAATCAGTGAACACCTTGACAAAGTTTTGTTGAAAAATACCACCAGAACTGTCTTCTATCTCCTCCCAACCTCCACACTCCTCCTGTTTTCTCACCTGTATCCACAGCGTATTTGCTGCTTAATTGAATCAAGCTAGAGTAGAACCTGCTGATCAAACGATTTATTAAAAAAAGTAATGTGCTTTGCTCCAGAGTGATAATGTAATATTACTTGCTTGACATCTTTTTCTAGACAGACCTGTTGCTTGTGCTCCAGGCAAGTCCTATTTTCCCAGACACTCCCTCCTTGCAGTTTGACTGTTCTGAGCATTATTATGAAATAGCTTGTTAGATCTCATACGTCTTCAGTTACTGTTTCTGAACTAGCTCTGTAGAAGTACCTGCAATTGTGGATTCTGTTTATTTTTATTATTGTTTATTATTGTTAAACAAGACAGCTATATCACTCCCAAAGCATGGTGAGGGCCTCAAATAGGATCCGTCTATTTGCAGATATTTTAATTGTAATTCTTTTTACAGATTTCATTCCTGAATGACATCAACTGCATGCAAAACACCATGACTTATCTGCATATATAAATATATACAAATTGAAAATTACCTTTTGTTCAGTCCTTAGCAAAGCTGAAAAAGCTTCTCTAATAATACAGCAAAAGCTTTAATACTAGCAAATTCTAACGATCATAGTTTATTCGATTAACTTACATAGCAGTAAAACACAAAAACCAAACTACTCACCTTTTCAGGTCCTTAAGAAGAAAATTATTTACTTTTTCCCCTGAACAGTAAAAATTGCTAGCTATTAATAGCCAAAGTTTTACTGTTAAGCAGATGTAAGTCTACATTATTATCATCCCTTCTAAGCCACACGCTCACAATAATTTAGAGCCCAGCCCACAGATAAAGATATTGCAATCCTGTTTGTTATAATTACCTAAGTAATAAGATCTTCCAGGAAGTGCAGAGCAAACTGGTCTGAATGCCACAAACTTACTTCGCTCAGCTAGCTTTACCCTGTAAATCCCAATCTGAGATTTGCATTTCAAATAAAATGAAAAATCTCTGCTACAACTAACTTGTTTAGAGCCAATATCCATTGCAAATTTCTTAACCCAGTTCCTGTATGCAAAACAACAGCTTACTGTGTCCAAAAAGAACATAATATTTAAAAGATGTATTCACAATTATGAAAAGCCTTAATTAAATCTGATTTTTTCATGGCTGCCTTGAACTAGCAGCTTTTCAGACAATAGAATGTGAACATTTAGGCAACTCTAAAGTATGATGTTTTCCCAACTTTGCTCCTGATAACAAGGTCACCAATGTTATCAGTTATGGAGCGATGCGAGGTTTTGCCAGGAACTCTTGAAATCCAGATCTTGCCTTAATATCAGTGCTTTGGGTAGCCTTCCAGTACCTCTTGCATTTAGAAGACGTAGCTAATAATTAAATACCATCATATTTTTTACCTGGGATGAATAAATACATGTTTGTAAACTGTTTCAATGATTCAAATTCAAATATCACTTTGCTTTGTACTTAATGGCATAATGAAAGATCAAGTGGCTTGGCTAAGCCTCAGAAGTCCTCCACGCGTTTTTCAGCTGCAAGAAGACTCCTGAGCTGGAATGAGCAAATGAGCAGCTCCCACCCGCACCATTTCCCACCTTGCTTCTCCCCCAGCCACAGGCAGTCTGTAGCCAGTTATCCCACAGACTTGCAATTGCCGATTCATCTCTCCTACCTTGCTCAGGAGTTCTTATGACACCATCAAACACAGAAGTCATAAACGCATATTTGGATCCTGGCCTTCTAAAACCCAGCATGACTCTCTAATTAAGTTAATCCTTAGTCCTAAATAACCATCCACAGCTGCTGGGAATAGAAGAATTTCTGATGATCGCTAGAATGACTGCCTAAGGAACACTACTTATACAGCATCCTCTGGGACTATCCACACAGAAATCATATTCATCTGATTATAGGTTAAATTTAATTTATATTTGTTAATATAGACACTACCTGCTCTATTTCCCCTTCACCTGCTTCATTGGAATAGGCGGAAGGGTAAATTCAACCCTTCCTTCATTTATTACCATTTATGTAATGAATAAAAACAAGACTAAAGATTTTTTATAGAATAACAAAAATGGGAAGAATAAAGACTTTTTTTTTTATTCAGCTGAAGA